CTTGCTCAAGGTCTTCCAGCTTGTAAGGGGCCAAGCTGGGAATGGTACTAGCTCTGCCTAGGACAACCCACTGCCTCCCCCATTACAAGGAACAGTAGTTTAATAATAGCTAACATCTGCGCAGCACTTCAAGGTTCACAGAGTGCCTTAACACCCATTATTTCCACTGTGCCTTGGAAGCCCCCGGCTGGTGAGGCATTCCACGCCCCTTTGAGACAGCTGCCTATCAGAAGTCCAGCCTCTGCTCATTTCACCCAGTAAGGATCGGAGATTCTTTGGCATTGGCTCTGACCAGCCAGGGGAGAAGGCCTTGGGAGTGGCTAAGGTGGAAAGACTTGGCCAGTTGCTATGGTAACCCAGATGGCTGAGTAACCATGTTGAGGGTTGCTATGGTGACAGGGTGCTGGGCTGCTGGGTGGCAGGAATCGTGTCTTCCTGGGTGGCTGGCACCATCCAGGCCTCTTAAATTAGCGATGTTGCACTTTCTGAACAGAAGAGGGCAGCATGATAGCAGGCAAAGGCTTCCTGCCCTAGAGCAGATTTGGGAACTTGAGGCAAAACTCAAATGTTTCCAGGAGCTGGGCTGAAAGGGAGCTTTGCTTGGGATGGCCAAAGCTGGTGTCTGCAAGGCTGGTGAGGCTGGGCCTGGAGACAGGTCTCCAGAGACTAAAACTAGAGGATTTTCTTCCAAGAGCTGGCAAAGGATAGGGCTTGGGGCAGCCCCTTCAGTGTCTGGCTCCAGCTACTATTGGGAAATGTAAAAGGCACAGGAGATAGCCTATCCACACAAGGAGGAATGAGGAGAAAACACACACACACACACACACACACACACACCCGCCCCCCCCACTAGCATAAAAATTATTTATAAAGCATCAGTTAACACATGTAAAATAATGCAACATGAGCCAAGCTGAAGTACTGGGAGTAAACTTCTAGAGGTTGGGGGAGGAGCACTGGCAGGAGGAGAAAAAATTTTGCGCTTCTCTCTCATCTTTGCACATGAAGTGCTCTCAGCTCTGGTGGCCACTGAATTGTATTCTCAATTGTCTTTAAAAAGAAACAATAATTATTTGAGAGAGAGAGAGAGAAAAACATCAACTTGTTCCATTTACTTACACGTTCATTTGTTGATTCTTGCATGCGCCCTGACTGGGGATCAAACCTACAACCTTGGTGCATCACCAGGACAGTGCTCTATCCAACTGAACTACCTGGCTAGGGCTAGTCTCAGTTGTCTTGAATCATAGATCTAGCACACATCTCCTGGCTCCAAATGTCTTCAGTGAGGCATTCATGCCTTCAGCAAATATTTATTGAACATCTACTATGTGCAAAGCATTGTGTTAAACCCTCTGATAATGAAAGATAAAATGGATATTTCTATTTCAAAGAACTAGTGAACCTGGAGTTTAAGGAGGTGGTGATGCAGATATAATACGTGTTGCTCTAGGAATAGGGGAAGAAAAATGTGGTTGGGATTTTGAGAAGAACTTCTACTTGGGTTCGTTAAAAATAACTTCAAAGCTAGGGTAAGCTTTGAAGATGGGTAGGATTTCAGTAGGTGGAGTTGAGGAGTAGAGAACATCCCAGGCAAAGGCACAGAGTTTGATTGTAGGAGAGGTTGCACATAAGGGTATCATGAGAGATAAGCTTATAAAGGAAGGTAGATGTCAAAAGTATGAAGGACTTGGAATGTCAGGCATGGATAAATGATGCTATCAGAGATAAGCATACTTTCTTCTTAAATACCCTAGCCTTCTAGCTAGTTAGAAGCCACAGGCAGCTGAGTATTTTAGGATCATCTGGTTCACTTATTCATGCATTTAATCAAAATTCAAAACACATTTAATGAATGTCCTATATGTGCCAGGCCACTTACTAAACGCTAAGAATCCTGTGGTGAACGAAAGACATCCCTAGACCTCAGGGAGGTAATGACTTAGTAAGGATGAAAGACACTGAATGATAACTTCAAGGGTGATAGATATTACCAAAGGGATGTAGAGGGGGCAGGAGGACCTACTAATCTGGGGTGGGAGAGGAGGTGATCAATGCAAGCTTCCTTGTGGGAATTTCAGCAGAGGGATGAGTTGGAGTGAGGCAGGCCAAGAGAGGAGAGCGATGAATGGTTACAGCCTAGAAGGAAAGGAGGTGGGAAGGTGAGGTGGGAGAGCTCGTTTAGGTTGAGGAGCTGAGAGAAATTGACAGTGGTTGGGCCTTAGGGAGAGGGGCACTTGAAGAGGCTTGCTTAAGTGAGGGAGGACACCGTGGAAAAATAGGGCTTTATTTACTTGTATTACCTTTTCCCTCCACTAGATGCCCTTCTGAGTACATCTTGCCTTCTATACCCCTTCCCCCTTGCAGCCTCCTTAGAAATGCAACAGCAGTCTCACCATCAGGAGCAGAGGAAAATCATAGACCAAAAGAAGAAAGCCACAGAGCTGTTCCAATTGGGTGGTCAGGCTATAAATTTAGACTGTTGCTTGGAAAAAATAAAAAACCTCCCCTTCACAGGCTTCCTTCTTCCCATTCTACCAGAAGCTGCTTTGTTCCTTTATCCTTGTAAAATTTTCTCTGTATAAAACAGGAACATCAGCCAAACATGTGGACTTCCCCCTTTCCATTCATTAGAAGAATTCATTACTTCAAAAATCTCATGGGAGTATTTAAATGCAAATCTTGTCAAGAAAGCTGTTTGAGTCTGAGGAAGTCCCCTAGCCACAATCCAAACCAGAACTTTTTTCCTTGATTACCTTGTTTCTCAATAGGAATCTGAGCCCCTTGCTTTCTCCCCACCAAACCTCTCAGATCTTCAACAAAACCTGATTCTCAGAACAGACTCATTTTCCCTTCTTTGCTGTTGTCTTGCCTCACCTTTGGGGAGTATCAGTCGCAATTCTTGAAGGATCCGCTCACAAAATGGCACATGTAGCAGTCCCAGGAGGGGATTGGGGGACTTTTCTACTTACTGTGTTGAAAATGAGAAGCAGATGTCTGTTTGGGGGTTAGGGTAGTGGTACATGTATGTGTACTTGTGTCTGGGCCTTCTTAGCCTACTGTATAAAATAATATGGGAAATGCCGATGACTCAGCACTGATACAGTCAAGATTCCCTAGAGTTAGCATTTCTGTATTCTCTGCTGTTTACGAAAAATGTGCTTATGCCATCAATCACCAACTCCTTCATCCTGCATTTTCTACTAAAAGCCTTTTATTTATTTAAAAAAAAAAATAAACCTCAAGCTCATTCACCTCCTTTTCTTAAACAGAGCTCATTAGCAGCCGACACCAAACTGTGAACTAGCTTTTTTTAAGCACAAAGGATTAAACTGGAAGGAAATGAGCATTTGTCCAAGACCCTCCCGGTCTGCCCTCTTGTAGGCCCTTTCCTGTATAATCTCTATGCCTAGAACTTGAGCAGGCCAGCAAAACTTTATGGAAAAAGTTGTAATTAATGACTTGCTCACCCGATTTCTGATCATAGTGTGACGTGGAAACAACCAATGTGCACCTATTAGTGAAAACGGTCATTTCTTCTTCCTGTCACTAATGTGCTGAGCATTGACCAACTCCTTGGCACTAGTCATAGCATACAAAGATGCCGGCCTTGCCCCCAGTGGTAAGAAGCTGCTCTTTAAAAATCTTCAGAGTGGGAACTATAATGGAAGCCCGAGTCCCAATTTTGGCTGCTCAATGTTGCATGAATTCTTTTTTTTTACTTGCTAATGTGCTGTTATTGTAAGATCAGCCTGCCTAACTTTTTACCCACAATCACCTCTCCACCCTCCGAAAAATCAAGTTAACAGACTTGATGAAGCTGGGGAGGATGATGGCCGGCTTGCAGTGGCTGGGGGCAAAAAGATCAGCTGCATTTACCCGAGGTCCTCATTCATAGCTCTTGGACCAGCGCTGCCGAACAGAACGCCTGTGAAGGTTGGGCTTGAAGGATACACAGCTGAATGGAGGATCAGCTGATGTTGGGAACTACCTCCTCAAAATGGTCCCAGATAAATCCCTACCCTTGTTTACCGGTCTCCTTTCTTCACTTTCCTTTCCCCTGACCGGAAATCATTGGCCTCCCTTTTTCTTCCCTGACCAGTTAAGGCCCCAGAATCCTTTTCTTTGTTCCTTAGCAGCCCTGGTTCAGTCCCAGGTTCCCACATTTCTCCCTTTTGATCTAAGTCTGTTCGAATGGCTGTCACAGTGTAATAATCCTGTTGGTTGCTCCTCTTTGTCACTCCCTGGTGCAGTCGGAATCCTGTTTTCATTCCTCTCTCAGTGGTCATTTCTCAGCCTTTGGCCGCTCATCTTTGGCCCGGCTTACTTCATGGTGCTCGGCCTGCCTTCTCATTGCGAGTTCGGTTTCTTCCGTTTCTGGAAACCCCTTTGTTCCTGGGATTCTTTGTGGTCTCAGCGTCGCCTTCGGCCTTACACGGCAGCCCGTCCGACTCTGGCCCTTGCCCTCACTCTGCCCGTGGCCAGCCCTGGGATCTGAGGCCCCTAGGTCCGCTGCGCTCTCCCTTCCCTTCAGTTTCTGCAGGTCCTTCTCCAGCAGCGACACAGGCCCAGCTCGGCTGCTCTCCAGCCAGGGGGCTCCCTCCTTTGTCCCAGCTCCGGGTGGAGGTCAGCGCTCATCGGGGCCGCCCGACCTCCCTGTGGAGTCGGCCCCGGGGTCTCCTCGCCGCGGCGGCCATCCCAGCCTTTCATCCTGACGCGCGTGGGGCCTCCTACCCGCCCGGACGCCGCCGGACACCCTCGCCCCCTCAGTTCAGCCCGCGTGCTTGCTGCGGGCAGGTCCGCGGCCACAGGGGGGAACCTGTGTGGGCAACCCGGGCCGCAGCCCGGGGGCCGAGGACGCGCCGGCGGCGGAGGCGGCAGGGCGAGGGGCGGGGAACGGGCCGGGCCTGGCGCTCCTGACAGGAGGAGCCGCCGCCGCCGCCCGCCGCCGCCACGCCGGGGCGGGCTGAGGGAGGAGCGGAGCTGAGGGGTGGGGAGGCGGAAACGCGAGCTGGGACCGGCGGGGTGCGAGCGGGCTGAGGAGCGGAGCGCAACGGACTGCCAGGCCGGGCGAGGCGGACGGATTGCGGAGAGCGAGGGCGCCACTGCCGCCCCCCTGCCGCACAAAGGGCCGAGGCTGGGGCCGCCGCCTCCTCAGCGCGCGGGCCTGGAACCGGCGTCGGCCGGGGCCCCGGGAGAGCGCGGCGCCGGGCGGCCATGGCTGGCTACGTGCCGGGTCAGCAGCCGGCCAACCGCAGCCAGGAGAAGGAGTTCGTGCAGGCGTACGAGGATGTGCTGGAGCGCTACAAAGGTGCGGCGGGGGCCGGGGCCGGGCCGGGTCGGGATGGGGCCCGGGGACTGGCCGGGAGCCCGAGCCCGCGGGCCGGCGCGATTTGGCCTTTCGATCCCGCTGCAGGTGGGGCGGCCGGGCGGGGTCGCGCCCACCCGGACGCTCGGGCCGGCTCCCGAGCTGCGGTTTCTCGGGGCCAGTTTATTTACCGAAATGGGGTAAGCCTCCGGAACCCTCTCCTCCAAACGACGGCGCTTTCCACAGCACTGGCTACATTATTTGCCGGTTTTCTGGCTCGGCTGGAAGGCGGCGAGACCCGGAGCCGGCTCTGGAGCCCTCCTGCTGTGGGGAGTTGCCGGGTTGGAGGCGAGCGGGGCGGGGTGCGGGGGCCCCCCGTTCTGCGCCCCGTGCGGGTCTTCCTCGGACATTTGCATGCCCGCCGAGGGTCCCTCGCCCCTTTGTCTCCCTCAGACTCCCATCAATCGCGTGGCAGCCGAGGTTGTGAACCCGCCTGGCTTCTCTCGGGCCGGTGTCCGCGAGTGTGCAGTTCTGATGGCAGGCCTCCCACCCTCAACCCCCCGGGGGCTTTGAGCCTGACCGGTGCCGGGTCTATTGCTTCCTTTTCTCAAAAATAAAGATTTATTTTGGAGCTCGGATTTCAGCCCCTGGAGGCTCTCGTGCTCAGCAGCGCTGCAAGTTAATGGCTCATCTCAGCCTGGGGTGTAGACAGAGAAAGTTTTGACAGGCCAGAGGGTCTGGGGACGGCACTGCTCTAACTGCTGGAACTGCTCCTTAAGTGGAAACCGGGGATGCGTGGCCGTGGGAGGCCCTAGCTTTAATCTGTAACATCCAGTTCTGGGATTTTGCTTTGTGTGGCAGTTGTGCTTTCCACAGATATGGAGGTTTTCCCAGAAACTCCATGGGCAGCACTTTCTCCTTTTTGATTCAGCTGGGGCCCTTGTGACTGGGCCCTTCGTTTCTTTTCATCTGAAGGGGAGGACACTTCAGCCCTTTTCACTGAGTCCGGCATACGTGTTTGCGGCACCTACCCAGTGAAGAGAAACGAATGAAGAAGTTGTAAAATGCACCTTTTCCCCGCCTTGTGGCATTTGAGCTCTGCTTGGGAATGGGGGGGGGGGGCGAAGAGGGAGAGGTGTGAAATGAAGTGAAATGCTAAAATGAACAAGTTCTGCGTGTTCCCTTCTGCATCAGCTCCTGTAAGCTGTCCAGGTTGTCCTGCCTGCAGCAAATTTTTCTGTCAACCCCCTGTGGTCTTTCTCTTAAGAAATGTGGTTCATTTCAGAGCACAAAGAGGTTAGATTGTGCTGCCGCACTTCGGGGAGGGGGGGTAGGCTGCTAAGTGAATGGTTCTATTAAGTTTCCTTTGCAGGCTTTTGAGCAACACTGCGCTCTTGCTCTTCGGAGGGAGGATTCTCTGGGTCTGTCTCGAGCTGTGACAACTCAAAAAATCAGCAAAATTAAAACAAAAACAGGTGAAGAAATCTCAGTACCTCACTGGATCATATTGTCAGTTGTCTCCAGCTGAAAGGAAGTTGGATTCCTAGCAAATGAAACTAGGAAAGAAGCGGGGAAGTAGGGCTTGTTCCAGGAGAGGCCTCTTGTGTTCCGTCCTTTTAGCTGTCTCACTCAGTTTGGCTTTCCTCTGAAGGACTTTGATCAGGTGTATAGGAATTTGATCCTTCCCAGACACAGATCTCTTTCTTGAGGGGAGGAATGAGTCAAAAGTGGTTGGCCAAAGTAAATTAACTTGAGCTAGATGAGGTTATTGTGCAGTCTGCTCTATGACAGGTGCAGAAGAATTTCTCTCCAGTCCCTACTGCACCATTCTCACTGGGAAGTCAGGGTGGATTAGCATCCTGGCCTTTGTTACTTTGCTGTTGGAATTCCTGCATTTTCCAGACTTAGAAATCCCTTACCGCCTTAATAGGAGAGCTGTTTGCCTAAGCTGGAATCAATAGAGTGACCAGGGGAGGTAGTTTGTGAGGATAAAGCCAGGGATTTATTTTGGAGAGACTTAGGAAAATATTGATGATGCTTGGGTTCTAGACTCTCGTTGGTTGGCTACCAGGTTACTTGGATCTCTCTCTATGCTGCTATTAATTTGTAGTACCTCATTCTACAAATGAAACAGGATTTTTGTGTTTAGAAGGGGAGCTGAAGTTTTCAGCTGCATAAACTGTCCCCAGTAGGGGTAAAGGTGAGAAGGGAAGTGATGCCTTTGCAGTTTAAGGGCATAGAGTAGCATATTATAGCTGTATTAGGAATTGTTGTCAAGCATGGATTTTCCAGAGCTGTGCCTGGCAACCATTTCCCTGTGTGTTGGTAGTGAGCATGGTTTTGGCAGGACTACATGATTCAGCATGGACATAAACACTCTCTCATTTCCTAAATATCTTTTTGAGCCTGACTGGCCAGCAAATAGGAGGGGGTATTAGGAAATAACTCTAGATTCTAACTGTTTAGAGTGGGCAGCAACCACCCAAGCCACAGTATGTTCTTTATTCTTCCAATCTTCCAATAATTATTAAATATCTATTAGAGATAGGAGAGTGTTAGACCCTGGAGATGACAGAATTATGAATGAGGTCTGTTTCCTGCCCTTGGTTATTCAAACCTTGCAAAGGAAAGATAAATGCAAACAAGTAATTATGATACTGTGTCAAAGGCTTGAACAGAGGTATGTGTAAAGTACTTTGGAAGTAAGAGGAGGGAAAGTTATCTCCCCTTGAGGTTCACTGAGAGACTTGACATAGGAGGTGACTAGGAGTGTGCCTTTAGGGATGAATGAGATTTGGTCAGATGGAGGAGGGTGGAAAGAAGAAGAGGCAGAGGGAATAAATAGCGTGTGCAAAGGCTTGAAGGTGTGAGAGTGAATGGAGGTGTTTGAGAAATATGAGTAGTTGGGTGTGACTTAAGGGCTAGAGTTTTGATGGAAGCAGATGATACTGTAAAGGACCCGGAGTCCAGCTTGTAAAGATTCCTTTATGGCCTTATTCCATGGGCAGTGGGGGAGTGAATTGTCGAAAGTTTTCAAAAAGCAACAGTTAGTCGGGGAGCATATGAGGGGCAACCAGTTGCTGTTTCATATCTCATGTCGATATATCTCTCACTCTCTTCTTCCCTTCCCTTCTCTTTGAAAATAAATATATAAATAAATCTTTAAAAAATAAGAAGCAACAATTAGTATGCCAATTTTATTAATTTGTATTAGAGGACATACCTGTCCAGTGATTGGAATACTTACATCACTGTCTGGGTCATGCTTTCCCTTGTACCAAAGTGCTTATGAAGCTAGGAATCAGATGGTTGGTTGGTAAACGTGGAAACAAACAAACAAAAAAAAAACACAGGTGCATTGTCTTGAAGACTGTTTCATCCAGATGATGATATGGGCCAGTCACAAAGTTTCCCTCTCTGTAGACTGAGATCCTTTTTAACACCAGTGGAAACTAAGAAGGAACAGTCAGAGAGGTAGGAGAAACAGGACCTGACTCCTTTCCTAGGATAGAGACAACCTCTACTGAAGAAGCAGGCCACATATGGGCATAGTTTTAGGTTTTAGAGAGGAGGTTTAAAAAACAAACCTAGTCTGGGTTTATGGTGGTTGGTTAAGCAGAAGGTGTAATACGTATGTTGGTTCTAGTGGAATTAGACTATTTTCACAAAGCCCGAAAGACTAAAAGAGTCTTTCCATGCAAGGGTGGATTAGGGATAAAAGAGAACATTCACATTTCAACACTGGTATCATGGACTATCTGGTACTTAAAAACTTAACAGTTCTCACCAGGTGTCATGGGTGCTATGAAGGTAATTAGGTCTGCTTTTTGTTCATCATGTCCCAGAAAATAAATTACAAAACTTACTGCACGGTGAATTAGGAGCGAAGGACCTGCATATTATTAACGTACAAAACCAGCAAGGCAGCAGAAAGAGACTAGGCTTTGAATTTCTTTGGTTTTGTGTTCCAGTGTTAGGTCTGCCACTTAACTTGTGCCGTGTGACCTTGGAAAAGTTGCTTAACTTCTAATCTTTGGGTTTCTCGTCTGTTAAAATGGGGTTGATAATACTAACTCCTTGGCATTCATGACAATATGAGTGAGCTGTTGGCATGTATTAGGCCATTATGTTTAGAAAAACCTTCATGTATTTAATACTTTGTGTTTTACAAAAGTTTTCTGTTCATTATCTGGTTTGATCTTTGTAGTACCCTGTAAGGAAGGAATATACACATGGGTAAATTTAGGCAGACACTTAAATTATTTGTTGCAAGAGCCAGGATCCAGACTTCTGGATGAAGGTTTTACATTGTATCACAAAAGCAAGTTTTAAAATCAGAACAGTGACTTAAGTGAGATAATTGTGAAAATACTGTAACTGTTAGTGTCATTATTAGTTTTTAGTCTCTGAACTATAAATCACATACTTTACGTGGCCTGCATTTCCAAATCTGTGAACTGTGGAGAATTTGTTTTCCCCTATGGGAGAGGTTTCACGGTATATAAATCACTTTGAAATTCTTATACAAAAGCAATGTAGTGCAAAGTGATAAAGTTTTGTTAACACACTGGTTGGAAAATATAGGCTGAGCATTTGGTATTGTTTACTTAAGTGATACTCTGATGCAATGTCTTGATTAAATGTAGACTTAGTTTTTAAGTTCCTTTTTAGAACACAACTCTTGAATTGGAGTGGATGGCTTCTAGACAGAACAATTTCTAGACAGAACAATAGCGTAATTGCTACTTCTGGACGTGGAGACTGTTAATTCGGAAAGTGAATCAAGTCTGTCTGCTGGGAAATCACAAGCTTTGGCCATGTTCATGCTGCTGAAATCATAAAACGTGTGCATGTGCTAACAGTGCTTATGGGAGCTACTGCTTTCTCTTGGGCTTGCTTGGCAGTTGACATAATACAAGTCAAGGAAATGAATCAGCTGAAGCCTTATTGTCCTGGTATTTTTTTAGTGCCAATTTCAGTTTTTAGAGCTCAGGGAAAGAATA